TCAGCAAGCGGTCATGCCACCGAGCCTCTGCCCGCGTCCTCTCTGCCATGGTCTCCTCCATCCTTTTGAGGACCTCAATGTGCCTGCGCATGAAGTCAGTATAGATCCACCAGTGCCTGCGGCTTCCATGGGCCCAGGTGGGTGGTGGGACAGGTGTCGCATGCTGGTCTGCTCTGGCAGGTCCAGCTGTGGAGGATAAGAGGGAGAACTGGTCAGTCATGCGTGCACACACTGTCCCTGCTTGTGATCAGTGAGTAACTGTCCTTGGAAAAAGGGACACCAATGTTCTCACTGCAAGCCCACGTGTGGCCTGGCCAGCAGCCCCAGCCTCACAGGGGCCCCAAGCTGACTAGGGCAACATCCACTCTCCCCAGTCCCCGCAACACCTCCCCCATGGCCACCCAGGGAAGTGTCCAGCCACAGTGGGTCCCTGGGTGTAGGACAGGGACCTGGAGCAGCTTGAGTCTCCCAGGATCCCCACTCACCCACCACCTGGCCGTGCAGGACTGTCTGTGGAAGCGATTGTGTCGCACATGCATACGTGGCCGAGTGCTATGTGTGACACTTGTGTGGTGTCGTGCGTGTGCCCTTGTGGCCAGCCTGCTTCCCGCAGTGCCTGGTGGGGGACGACAGCCCTTCCTGGGGTCAGACAAATCTAGGGAAGTGCCCAGCCACAGTGGGTCACCAGATGTAGGAGAGGGGCCTGGAGCAGCTTGAGTCTCCCAGAACCCCCACCTACCCAGCACCTGCCTGTGGCAGCACTGTCTGTAGGAGCGATTGTTGTGCTGCATGTGCATACATGACTGAGTGCTGTGTGTGACACTTGCGGTGGTCTATGTGGTGTCGTGCGTGTACTCTTGTGACTAGCTTGCTTCCCGCAGTTCCTGGAGGGGGGAGGACAGCCCTCCCTGGGGTCAGACCTGTGTGGGGCCATCCCCAAGCTATGAGCAGCTGCCCACGTGTGCCCTGGGACTGAACGTGCTTGTACATGCACAGAGAGGTGCAAGCTGTCCAGGAAGAGCATGACACGTGAAGACTGGCCCACATCCTCTGTGCTTCCACCTCCCCCGTTCTGTGTGTGTGTGGCAACCTCACCGCACTCACCTGATGTTCCCTCACCAGGGTCAGAAAATGCCTGCGAGGCCTCCTGAGACTGGGGGACCGGCTCCAGGGTGAGACTGACAACACTCCTGTTGGGGTCCTCCTCCTCCTCATCCTGCAGCTGCTGCTCCTCTGGGTTATCCTCATCCACCTTCTGGCAGTGCTGGATGGGTGTCTGCAACCCGGACTCAACAAGAACCCGTGTAGAGAAGGGTTCCTCATCCCCCAGGATTCTGTCCAGCTCCTGGAAGTACGCGCAATGCTGAGGCGCTTCCCCAGAGGTGGAGCTGTGCTCATGGGCCCTGGCATAGCCCTGCCTCAGTTCTTTCACCTTGGCCCACACTTGGTCCAAAGTTCTGGGGTGATGGCCTTTCTTTGCCAGCCCCTCAGCCATGTGGCCATAGATGTCTGGATTCCTGCATCAGGAATGCAGAGCCTGCAGGGATTCCTCCTCTCCCCAAAGTTCCAGTAGCGTCAGGACCTCCGGCCGCGATCGGGCTGGAGCTCACCTCTTTGTGCCCCTGGATGAGTCTTGGGATGGGTCCTTGAAAGGACCTTGGGGGTCTTGGGCTTGTGCCATGCTTCCTTTGCAGAAACACAGGGAGAGTCACGTGGTCAGTGGCTTGCTCTGGCTGCTTTCCTGCCACAATGGCTGCATGGCTACTGACAGGAACAATAGAAGTTTTTCCTGCAGATGAAGTGTTCACCAGGGCTTTTCCCTGGAGGCCTGTTGTTTTGAGACCCCCTTCCTCCCTTCCCCCCCCTCCGCATCCACACATGCCTTTTTTCAACAGATCTCTGTCGAAAAAGGCATTCTTCCTTGTAAAATGAGGTTTACCGCTGTCGACAAAACTGCAGCGTTCTTTCGATTTACTTTTGAAAGAATGCAGTCTAGACGCAGGTGAAGTTTTTTTGAAAAAAGGCTACTTTTTCCGAAAAAAACCCTATAGTCTAGACACACCCTCAGAGCTGCAGACAGACGCAACGGTTAGGCTGTGAAAGCTTTACAAAGAGCAGGAAAGTGAAAGCTTTATCCAGAGAAAACATAAGCAAGCCCCTTGAATATGTATGTACTGTATGTGTAGAGTTAACGTCTGTGCTTCACTATCCAGTACATGCAAACTTACCAAAAGCACTGTGCACTGCAGACAGCCGCATTGGCTCCACGGATGCTCTATGGCAGGAGTCTCACACTCACAGCCTACAGGCCACCTGTGGCCTGAGCAGTTCCACAATGTGAGTCCCTGTGCTCCTCGGGGGGATGTACTCTGCCTCCACATCCAGCCTTCGTTCCACCCCAACTCCACCCTCTCCCCCCCATTGTACCCACTGTGGCGGGGGGCGCCGGCGGGGAGCACAGGAACAAA